TCAAGTGATTCTCCTGCCTCAGCCTCCCAAGTAGCTGGGATTACAGGTGCCCGCCACCACGCCCAGCTAATTTTTGTATTTTTAGTACAGATGGAGTTTTGCCATGTTGGCCAGGCTGGTCTCGAACTCCTGGCCTCAGGTGATCTGCCAGCCTCAGCTTACCAGAGTGCTGGAATTACAGGCGTGAGCCACCATACCTGGCTGATATATATATATTTAAAAATAATAGTAAAAAAGAAAAAAGGCCAATGTAAAAATGTATATATATATGTATTTTGTAGAGACAGGGTCTTGCCATGTTGGCCAGGCAGGTCTCAAACTCCTGGGCTCCAGTGATCCTCCCACTTCGGCCTCCGAAAGTGCTGGGATTACATACGTGAGCCACTGTGCCTGGCCCCTTCTGGAATTTTCTGGGACTTTGATGACACTTGCTGGGAAGCCAGCTGGAGTATCAGTGGAAGTGACTGGGAAGCTGTGTGTGGTAGGGGTGTCACTAAAACTCACTGGAATGAGTGCCACACTGGGTATCCCAAATGCTATTGGTCAGCACAGGCAGGTAAGAACTCACTGCAACCTCCGCCTCCCAGGTTCGAGTGATTCTCCTGCCTCTCCCTCCCAAGTAGCCGGGATTACAGGCTCCTGCCACCACACCCGGCTAATTTTTGTATTTTTAGTAGAGACGAGGTTTTTCCGTGTTGGCCAGGCTGGTTTCGAACTCCCGACTTCAAGTGATCTGCCTGCCTTGGCCTCCCAAAATGCTGGGATTACAGGCGTGAGCCCGGCCCCAAGTGGAATTTATTCCTCAGACACAAGGATGGTTCAACATATTTAAATCAATCAGTGTAATGTACCACATTGACAGAATAAAGGACAAAAGCCACATGATCATCTCAATTGCTGCAGAAAAAGCATTTGACAAGACTGAATATTCTTTCATGATGAAAGCACTCTACTGACTATAAGTGGAAGGAAATGACCAATGTAATAAAGGCCATTTATAGAAAGTCCATGGCTAATATCACTCAACAATGAAAGACTGATAGCCAAGATGAGAAATGACAAAGATGGGCCAGGTGTGGTGGCTCACCCCTGTCATCCCAGCACTTTAGGAGGCTGAGGCAGACAGATCACTTGAGGTCAGGAGTTCCAGACCTTGCTGGCCAATGTGGTCAAACCCCACCTCTACTAAAAAAATACAAAAATTAGCCAGGTGTGGTGGCGCACACCTGTAATCCCAGTTACTCAGTAGGCTGAGGCACAAGAATCACTTGAACCTGGGATCCAGAGGTTGCAGTGAGCAGAGATCACACCACTGCACTCTGGCCTAGGCAACAGAGTGAGACTCCATCTCAAAGGAAAAAAAAGAAATCGCGAAGATTCCCTGTCTCCCCACTTCTGTTTAACACAGTATTGGAAGTCCTAGCCAGAGCAATTAAATTAGGTAAGAAAAAAAAAAAGGCCTCCAAATGTGAAAGAAAGAAGTAAAATTATCTCTGTTCATAGATGATACATGATTTTGTATGTAGAAAACCCTAAAAATTCCACACAAAAATCTATTTGAAGTCCAACAGATTCAGCAAAGTTGCAGGATACTACATCAACACACCAAATCAACTGCATTTCTATACAGTAACAATGAACAATCTGCAAAGGAAATAAAGAAAACAATTCCATTTACAATAGCATCAGAAAGAATAAAATCCTTAAGGATAGACCTAATCAAGGAACTGAAAATCTGTATGCTAAAACAATAAAACTGCCAGGCCTCTGAGCCCAAGCTAAGCCATCATATCCCCTGTGACCTGCACGTATACATCCAGATCACCTGAAGCAACTGAAGATCCACAAAAGAAGTGAAAATAGCCTTCACTGATGACATTCCACCATTGTGATTTGTTTCTGCCCCACCCTAACTGATCAATGTACTTTGTAATCTCCCCCACCCTTAAGAAGGTTCTTTGTAATTCTCCCCACCCTTGAGAATGTACTTTATGAGATCTACCCCCTGCCCGCAAAACACTGCTAACTCCACCGCCTATCCCCAAACCTGTAAGAACTAATGATAATCCCACCACCCTTTGCTGACTCTCTTTTTGGACTCAGCCCGCCTGCACCCAGGTGAAATAAACAGCCTTGTTGCTCACACAAAGCCTGTTTGGTGGTTTCTTCACACGGACATGTGAGACAAAAACACTGCTGAAAAAAATTAAAAGAAGGGCACGGTGGCTCATGCCTGTAGTTCTATAATCCCAGCATTTTGGGAGGCTAAGGCAAGCAGATCACTTGAGTTTAGGAGTTCAAGACCAAGCTAGGCAACATAGCAAAACCCCGTTTCTACTAAAAATACAAAAATTAGCTGGGTGTGGTGGTGCATGCCTGTAGTCCCAGCTACTTGGGAAGCTGAGGCAGTAGAATCGCTTGAACCTGGGAAGCAGAGATTGCAGTGAGCCGAGATCAAGTCACTGCAGCCTGGGCAACAGAGCAAGACTCCGTCTCTCAAAAAAAAAAAAAAAAAAAGAGAAGAAATTAAAGAAGACTGAAACAAATGGAAAGACATCTCATGTTCATGGATTGGCAGGCTTAATATTGCTAAGATATCTGTACTACCAAAAGCTGTCTACAGAATTATTGCAATCCCCATCAAAATCTCAAGGGCATTTCTTGTACAAATTAGGAAATCCACTCCAAAATTTATATGGGGCCGGGCGTGGTGGCTTACGCCTGGAATCTCAGCACTTTGGGAGGCTGAGGCAGGAGGATCACGAGGGCAGGAGATTGAGACCATCCTGGTAACATGGGTGACACCCCATCTCTACTAAAAATACAAAAAATTAGCTGGTCGTGGTCCAGGCCTGTAGTCAGCTACTCGGGAGAGGCTGAGACAGGAGAATGGCGGTGAACCTGAGGCGGAGCTTGCAGTGAGCCAGGATGGCGCCACTGCACTCCAGCCTGGGTGACAGAGCGAGACTCCATCTCAAAAAAAAAAAAAAAAATCATATGGCACACCAAGGGCCTCTGAATAATGGAAACAATCTTGAAATAGAGCAAATTTGGAGGTCTCATACTCCCTGATTTCAAAACATAAAGTAATCAAAACAGGGTTGATACGGTACAAAGACAAAATAGAACTATGGAATAGAGAGCCCAGAAATAAACCTTGATCAAAATACTTAGCAATGCATGCAGGTGCAGATCTCAGCTACTTGGGGCCAAGATGGGAAACTCACTTGAGCCCAGGAATTTATGACCGCCTGGGCAATATAGCCAAAACCCTGTCTCCAAAAAAAAAAAAAAAAAAAAGCCGGGCGCAGTGGCTCACGCCTGTAATCCCAGCACTTTGGGAGCCAGAGGTGGGCGGATCACCTGAGGTCAGGAGTCTAAGACCAGCCTGGACAGCATGACGAAACCCTGTCTCTACTAAAAAATACAAAAATTAGCTGGGTGTGTTGGCAGGCACCTGTAGTCTCAGCTATTTGGGAGGCTGAGGCAGGAGAATGGCTTGAACCCAGGAGGTGGAGGGTGCAGTCAGCCGGGGATCACACCACTGCACTCCAGCCTGGCCGAAAGGGCAAAACTCTGTCTCAAAAAAACAAAAACAAAAACGAAAAACCTGCGGCCATAAAAAAGAAAGAAATCATATCCTTTGCAGTAATGTGGATGCAGCTGGAGGCCATTATCCTATGTAAATTAACGCAGGAATAGAAAACCGAATGCCACATGTTCTCACTTATAAGTGGGAGCCAAACCTTGGGTACACATGGACATAAAGATTGGAACAATAGACACTGGAGACTCCTAGAGGAAAGAGGGAAGTGGGGGCAAGGGTTGCAAAATGAACTATGGGGTGCCATGCTCACTACCGCACCCCAAACCACAGCATCATGGAATATACCCATGTAACAAATCTGTACACGTACCCCCCGAATCTAAACTAAAAGTTGACGTTATTGAAAGAAAAGAAAATATAAAAAGATTATCACACCAATTTCAGAACAGGTTCATTACAAGATGAATACTAAAGAGAATATTTGCGACAACGAAATTAACATGCAACTACAAATCTTACAAAAATCTACAAGTAAATTTCAATGATTAGAAATTCAACTGGCATCTGACGTTAATGAATTGGGAATACCCTTCTTGTGTATCAACTACACACTGACTATATTCTTTAAAGATGGCTTCCTTTTTAAATCTATCTTCTTGATAGTGGAGATCTTAATTTGGGATCTTGGAAATTTGAATCAATCTATCACTCAATTCCCCCCTCTCTTTATCTATCTATTCTATCTATCTATCTATCTATCTATCTATCTATCTATCTATCTATCTATCTATCTGTCTCCTCCTGAGGCAGGAGAATGGCTTGAACCCAGGAGGCGGAGCTTCCAGTGAGCTGAGATCGCGCCACTGCACTCCAGCCTGGGCGACAGAGCAAGACTCCATCTCAAAAAAAAAAAAAAAAGGAAAAAAGGAGTAATTGTATAATGGTTATTAACAGGCGGTAACACACAACAAGCTCTGGAAAAGCTTTTCCCCTTCCTTTGGAAAGGACTAAAGTAACAGTATTTTGTAAAATGTGTGCTTATTTTAGGAATTAAAGATAATTTGTTCTATGTCCTTGAAATTTATTCTAAGAAACCAGAGTACTGCTGAGGACCTAGCACAACATAAAATGACCATTTGTCTTAGACTCTGCAGTGTTAAGCAGTGTTTATTTGGTAAGCTGAATCCAAGAAGATGTGTTAGGATCCTTTCTAGGAGAATGCTTACGGTATCTTAGAAGACTACAGAAGTCTTGCCTGCAATCCTTTTGAGACTGGGAATACAAAGGACAAAATTACAACACCTACAGTATTTTGCAAAATCTTTCTGAAAATCCGTCCTGGCATTAACAAAAGCGCATCCTCTCTCGGTTCCGACGACAAACACGTCTGTTTCGTACACTGCGATGCAGGCCACTTCTGCCTTGGACTTGGCCAGTTCTTTACACTGAAACAGAAACAAAAGGGGATGTATTATCTACAAGGGCAGATCCAAGTTCGCGGTGCCTGGGAGGCCTGCTTTAAGAATACAAAATTAGGCCAGGCGCGGTGGCTCAAGCCTGTAATCCCAGCACTTTGGGAGGCCGAGGCGGGTGGATCACGAGGTGCATGAGATTCGAGGACGACATGTCCTGGGTACATAGTGAACCAGTCATCTAAAATTAAAATACTAAAAATAACTAAGCCGTGCGATTAAGGTGCGGGCGCCTGTAGCTTCAGGCTATTGGGCATGCAGGCGTAGTGAGATTATATGGCTGACCGGGACGCCGGTCGTGAGCTTGCAGTGATTCTAGATCACGCACTGTCACTCCAGCCTTGGTATCATCTATGCGAGATCTTGTTTTTCATTTTTTTTCTTTTTCCGTCTCAAAAAATAAAAAAAAAAAAAAAAAAGATCACAATAATTATGTGCCTGGTTTTGCGTCTTTTGGTTGCGTATTGCCTGTATTCCTTACTTGGCAGGTTTTTTTTGAGGCGGGTGATCACTTGAGTGAATTGATTACCTGTCCTGGTCTATTTTACACCGGACTATACCTCCTGCCTCTACCTTGAAATAATGACTAAAAAATTATGCCGTCGGTGCTGTTGGCGGATTTGCGCGCTTTGTAGTCCCAGCTACTTTCATGTGACGTCTGAGGCAGGAGAAGTGGCATGAACTTCTGTGTGGAGGCAGAGCTTGCAGTAGAGCCCAGAATCGGAGGGGTGTCGTGCCGACTTGCACCCCAGTTCGGGGGGGGCAGAGAGTGGGAGACGTCCATCTCCAAAAAAAAAAAAAAAAAAAGGATAACAAAAATTAGGTTCGGGCGCGGTGGCTCCGCCTGTAAATCTCAGCACTTGTGGAGGCAAAGGGTGGGCAAGGATCACGAGGCAGGAGATTTTGAGACCGTCCTGGCTAACAAGGTGGAAACCCTTCGCTCTAACTAAAAATACACAAAAAAAAAATTAGCGGGCGTGTGGCGGGTGCCTGTTAGGTCTCAAGCTATTTGGGAGCTGAGGCGGAGAATGGCATGAACCCCGGAGGTGAGCCTTGCCAAGTGAGCCGAGAATGTGCGCCATGCACTCCAGTCGGGCGGATAGAGGGAGGACTCCATCTCAAAAAAAAAAAAAAAAAAAAAAATTAAGTAGCAAAAGGAATATTTATTTTATCTTTATTTTTATTTTTATTTTGTTATTTGAGATAGAGACGAGATCTTGCTCTGTTGCCCAGGCTGGAGTGCAGTGGTGCGGGATCTCTGGCTCACTGTAAGCCTCCAGTCTCCCGCGGTGGTCACGCCATTTCTCCCGCCCAGCCTCCCAATAGGGTGGGGACAACGGCACCTGCACCCCAGGCCTGCTAATTTTGATTTTTTGTAATCTTTTCAGTGAGAGAGGGGTTTCACCGTGTTAGTCAGGACAGTCACGATCTCCTGACCTTGTGATCCTCCCACCTTGGCCTCCCAAAGTGCTGGGATTACAGGCGTGAGCCACCGCACCCAGCCAGAATATTTATTTAGAATGAGAAAAATCACCGAGAAAGGAAACCAAAACAAATCAAGCAAACATCATAAACATCATAAAACCCAAAGAACATATTTTTATTGACTGCCTGACATGGGTCTCCAATACGATTTTTCCCTACATTTTTGGCTGCAGACTTTCTGGTTACCTCTTCATATACACAGACCTTGTATTTATTTATTTATTTATTTATATTTTTTAATTTTTTTTTTTTTTTTGAGACGGATTCTTGCTCTGTCACCCAGGTTGGAGTGCAGTGGCGCTATTTCAGCTCATTGAAACCTCTGCCTCAGCCTCCCACGTTAGCTGGGATTAAAGGTGCCTGCCACCACACCCAGCTAGTATTTTTGCATTTTTAGTACAGACGGGGTTTCACCAAGTTGACCAAGCTGGTCTCAATTCCTGACCTCAGGTGATCAAGCCATCCTCCTCGGCCTCCCAAAGTGCTGGGATTATAGCCACCACACCCTGCCTCCTTTTCTTTATAATATTTTATTTACTGATAAGAAACACACACATAGAATTTATTGGTTTTTTTTTAAAACAAGGTTGCACTCTGTTACCCAACCTGGATTGCAGTGGTGTGATCACGGGTCACTGCAGCCTGGACCTCCTTGGCTCAGGTGATCCTCCCACCTCAGCCTCCCAAGTAGCTAACACTACAGGCATGCGCCCCCATGCCCAGCTAACTTTTGTATGTTTAGTAGAGATGGGGTTTCACCATGTTGACCAGGCTGGTCTCAAACTCCCGACCTCGTGATCTGCCTGCCTTGGCCTCCCAAAGTGCTGGGATTACAGGCATGAGCCACCACACCCAGCCTAAAAATTTTTTTAGTAGAGACAAGGTCTTGCTATGTTACCCAGGTTGGTCTCAAAACTCCTGAGCTCAAGCGATCCTCTGGCCTCAGCCTCACAAAGTGGTGAGATTACATGAGATTACAGGCGTGAGTCACCCTGCCTACCCCTAATGCTTTCTTTTAAAATTAATTCCAATTTGCAGGGTTTTTGTTGTTGTTGTTGTTGTTGTTTAGAGTCAGGGTCTTGTGTTGTGCCAGCTGGAGTGCAGTGTCATGCTAGCTCACTGCAGACTTGAACTCCTGGGCCTGAGCAATCCTTCCACCTCAGCACCCCAACTAGCTGGAACTATGGCACCATCCCCTCTAGCTAACTTTTAAAAAATAGTCTTGTACGGCCGGGCGTGGTGGCTCAAGCCTGTAATCCCAGCACTTTGGGAGGCCGAGGCGGGTGGATCATGAGGTTAGGGAGATGAGACGCATCCGGCCTAACATGTGTGAAACCGCGTGCTCTGTTACTAAGAAATACGAAAAGGAAAGAAAAAAAAAACTAGCGGGCGTGGTGCGCGTACGCTCCGGCTAGCGGTTTTTTTTTTTTTTTTTTTTTGTATTTTTAGTGAGAGACGGGGTTTCACCATGTTTTAGCCAGGAGGCTCTCGATCTCCAACCGTTCATGATCCACCGCCTTCGCGCCTTCCAAAGTCGGGATACAGGCCTGGAAGCCACCACCCCGCCCGACAAAAAACTAAAAGAGATCAGGGAAGAGAGGAGACACGGCGACTGGGGCGCCTTTAAGTCCCGAGCTACTTGGAGGTTGAGGCAGGAGAATGGCATGAACCTGGGAGGCGAGCTGCAGTGGAGCCGAAGATCGCGCATCTGCGACTCCAGCCTGGGCGGAACACGCGAGACTCCGTCTTTCAAAAATTAAAAAATTTAAAAAAAAAAAAAATTAAAAAATGAGTCTTGCTAGAGACAAGGTCTTACAACCTGCCAGGCTGGTCGTCCAACTTCCTGGCCTCAAGCCATCCTCCCAACCTTGCCTTCCCAAAACCGCTGGGGATTACAGGCTGACTACCACTAATTTTTGATTCACTCGAATATGTGGATGTCTGTCAGATTTCTTGCACTGTTAAAGTTACTGATTTTCCATTTTTAATCAATAAAGTCATCTTCCGATCAGATACTTTGGAGTTAGCGTAAATTTCTCGTCAAATTTTCACCCACCAGGTAAAGTTTACCTTTGGTGGTAAAGTAGATATATAGGAAATAGGTTATTTACTTTTTTTTCTTGAGACAGAGTCGATCACTCTGTTGCCCAGGCTGGAGTGCAGTGGCACAATCTCAGCTCAATACAAATCCTCGCCTCCTGGGTTCAAGTGACTTCTCGTGCCTCAGCCTCCTGAAGTAGCTGGGAATACAGGCGTGTGCCACCACAGCCCAGCTAATGTTTCTATTTTTTTAATAGAAACAGGGTTTCACCATGTTGGCCAGGCTTTCTCCAAGCTCCTGACGCTCAAATAATCCACACGCCTTGGCCTCCGCCAAGAGTGCTGGGATACAGGCATGAGCAGCTGCGCCTGGCCTATGATACTTTGAATTTAGATTTTTAAAAATTCTCAAAACATGGTACAAAGGTTACCATTCATTCACATTCAGTTCCTGGGGAAGCTTAAGTTTATAGATTAATTGATCCATAACTGTAATATACCAAACACAGTTAAATAATCTGGACAGCCCATTATCCTCGGTATAAGAGATACGCCTTATATAGAGTCAAGCGCAGAAGGGAAACATTAAAGAGTGATACTGAAGCAGCCCACGGGTGGTCACACCTGTAATCCCAGCACTTTGGGACCGAGTGCAGATCACGCTGAGACGGTAAGAGTTTGAGCCAGCCTGGCAACATGGGTGAAACCGTCTCTCTAAAATACAAAAAAATTAGCGGAGCGTGGATGGCACCTGAATCCCAGCTACTTGAGAGTCTGAGCAGGGAACTGCTTGAACCTGGAAGGCGAGGTTGCAGGAGGCCAAGTGGGCCACTGCCTCCAAGCTGCGACAGAAGTGAAGCTCTGTCCTGGAAAAAAAAAAAAAAAGGGGGGGATACTAAAGTGTTTCATTGATTTCTGTCGTTGTCGACAGTGATCCATCTATGGAATGTCAGACAAGGTTCGAGGCTGTCTACATGGACTCGAGGCAGACACGAGGAATGCACCACCATCCTCTCTCCTGAGGGATGACTCTCTTCAACGGGGCAGGGTGGAACACTGCTACTTGGGCCATGAGCCGCTGTGCAAAGAAGCAATAAGAAAGCGGGCAAAAATCAGAGTTGAAACCCACATTTAGAGCTGTACTCACAAAGACGGTAGTTCAAACGCTTTCTCTGAGGTGAAGAAACTGAAAATGTAAAGGCCATTTAGGTGGATTGGCCCATGAGTCCTGATAGTAATGCTGAGGAACTTATTTTATTTGAGAGCGAGGGTTCTTGCGCTCGTCGACCCAGGCTAGAGTGGCAGTGGCAGCAATCACAGCTTACTGTAACCTTGCCCCCTGGATCAGTCGGATCCTCCCACCGTCAGCGCTCCCACAGTAGGCGTGGGTACCTAGCAGGTGAGCGACCACCGACACCTGGCTTGAATTTTTGTAGTTTTTTGTAAGAGATGTTTTTGCCAGTATTACCTAGGCTGGGTCTCAAAGCTCTGAGCTCAGAGCCAATTGCGTGCCTTGCCTCCCAAAGGCTGGATTACAGTGTGAGCCACCGGTGGACAACCCTGCTTTCTATGTGGGTGGTTTGTGGACGAGGTGAATTTCACTCCTGTGCCGAGGCTGTGGTGCACGGCGCAGTCGCTCATGCAGCTCAGACCCGCCGCCACCGCCTGATTCAAGTGATTCCTTTTCGCGTTGCTCCGCCTCCGCGGAGTAGCTTGGATTACAGATGCGCTGCCACACCACCCAGCTAATTTTTTGCAGTTTGTGTTAAGGTGTAAACAGGTTTGCGCATTGTTGGCCAGGCTGTCCGAACTCCTGACCTTGAGGCGTTCGCCTGCCTTTTGGCCTCCCAAAGCTAGTAATGAACCACGTGCCCAGTGCAACTTTCTTTTGTAAGAAACGCTATATTTATTAGACAGAGTCGTGCTGCTGTCGCTCAGCATGCGAGTGGCCAATTCGTGAGTCCACTGTAGTCCCAACAGCTGACTACAGGCACGCACCCATCACACTGGATTTTTTTTTTTTTTGTTTGTTGTAGAGACAAAGTTTTGCCATGTTGGCGGGCTTAAGATGTTCCTGCGTCTGCAAGTGGATCCGCGATCCGCTGCCTCTGCTTCCCAAAGTCTGGGATGTATAGCATAAGCCACCAGTGCTAGCCCTTTTTTTTTTTTTTTTTTTTTGGCGGGGGTGGCGGGGGTACAGAGTCTTGCTCTGCCACCCAGGCTGGAGTGCAGTGGCACAATCTCGGCTCCCTGAAACCTCTGCCTCCCAGGTTCAAGTGATTCTCCTGCCTCAGCCTCCCAAGTAGCTGGGATTACAGGCTCCCACCACGCCTGGTTAATTTTTGTATTTTTAGTAGAGATGGGGTTTCACCATGTTGGACCAGGCCAGTCTCGAATTGCTGACCTCAAGTGATCCACTTGCCTAGGCCTCCCAAAGTGCTGCGATTACAGGCGTGAGCCACCGCACCCAGCCTTTTAAATTTATTTTTATGCTAACTTTACAGCATATATTTTCCACTAAACCTACACATGGCCTCCCCATAAAACAAACTCAGATATTATGTGACAGGAGCATGCTCTTTCCCAGATGAGGAGAGGAGGATTCGTATCTTACTGATCCAATGATGTTTAGTCAGATTTCAGCATGGTTGTGACAGCTACCATCCTGTTTCATTTACACATAGAAAGGATATAATGGGTTTGTGTACTAAAGATAGGAAGAGAAAATTCCTTCTTTCCCTCTTCCCTTTGGACTTCTGTCTCCTAAAAGCTCACTCTAAATTTTGCCAAACCTTTTTTTTTTTTTTTTTTTTTAGCTTTTTGTTTGTTTGTTTTGTTTTTAGAGACAGGATCTCACTCTGTCACCCAGTCTGGAGTGCAGTGGCACAATCATGGCTCACTGCATCCTCCAACTCCCAGGCTCAAGTGATCCTCCTGCCTTACCCTCTGGAGTAGCTGGGACTGCAGGCATGTATCACCAGACCCAGCTATATTTTTAAACATTTTTTTGCAAAGATGGGGTGTTGCTCTATCGCCGAGGCTGATCTCAAATTCCTGGGCTTAAGCCATCCTCCTGTGTCGGCCTCCTTAAGTGCTGGGATGACAGGCGTGAGCCACTGTGCCTGGCTGATACATTTTGCCAAGCTCTAAACGAAGTTAGCTTTAAGAAATTCCTTTGAAAAAAATTATCTGAAATCTTAAAAACAACTTTTTGAAATGGAACATGCAAAAAAAAAGTACCCGTCAGCTACCATCATATCCCTCCAGTATTTGACTTAATTCTATTTGTAAGCAAAAGACAAATAGATCACATGAGGGTACATGTGGAAGACAGAAGATTTTTTTTTTTCTTTGAGTTTTGCTCTTGTCACCCAGGCTGGAGCGAAGTGGCGCGATCTCGGCTCACTGCAACCTCTGCCTCCCAGGTTCAAGCGATTCTCCTGCCTCAGCCTCCTGAATAGCTGGGATTACAGGCAGCCGCTACCACACCCAGCTAATTGTTGTATTTTTAGTAGAGACGGGGTTTCATCATATTGGTCAGGCTAGTCTCAAACTCCTGACCTCAGGTGGTCTGCCCGCCTTGGCCTCCCAAAGTGCTGGGATCATAGGCGTGAGTCACTGGGCCCAGTCAAAACTAAAGATTTAAGGGAGTGAAGTGTGGAGGTGGCATGGGGTTATTTGGAAATATTCACAAACGTCTCTTTCAGATCATGTGGTTTGATTTCTTACCCACTTGAATGCGGTGTGGCCACGTGACTTTCGTGGACTGAGGATGTCAGGGAAGTAAATTTACTTTGCCACACTCTCTCTTCCTCCTCAGTGGCCACTGGGAACGTTTCACATGGGACTGCCACAGCAGCCTGGGTTCCAAATTGCGGACAATGTGAAACAGACTCATAGCCAATGCACAACAGACTTTTAGTGCGACCAAGAAGTAAGTCTTTGCTCCTTTAATCCTCCAAAGTCTGGTGTCGTTTGCAACCACAGCACACCCTAGCCAGTCTGGACAGTTACGGAAGGTTGAAAAGAAATTCTAAAAATGCAACTATCTATCAAAATTCTTTGAAGACACTTGAGGATCCCTTAGAGTTAGAATCTTTCTGAGAACATTAGCTATAAAGAACCAGTAGGATGCAAACTGTTATTGTTAAAAATTTTTATAAATCTATGTATCTCTATTATTATTAAACAGAATGGTAGGGGGAAGGGAAGGATAGGGAGAGATTTGGTTGTTTTTATGAGATGGAGTATCACTCTGTCACCCAGGCTGGAGTGCAGTGCCACGATCTCAGCTCATTGCAACCTCTGCCTCCTGGGTTCAAGTGATTCTCCTGCCTCAACCTCCTGAGTAGCTGGGATTGCAGGCATGAGCCACCACACCTGGCTAATTTTTGTATTTTTGGTGGAGACGGGGTTATACCATGTTGGCCAGGCTGGTCTCGAACTCTTGACCTCAAGCTATCCGTCCACCTCGGCCTCTCAAAGTGCTGGGATTACAGGTTTGAGCCACCACTCCTGGCCTGTTTTTGTTTGTTTGTTTGTTTGTTTTTAAGACAGCGTCTTGCTCTGTCACCCAGGCTAGAGTGTGATCACGGTTCACTATAGCCTCGACCTTCTGGGCTCAGTTGATCCTCCCATTTCAGCCCCCAGGTGACTGGGACTGCAGGTGCATGCCACCACACTTGGCTAATTTTTGCATTTTTAGTAGAGATGGGGTTTCACTATGTTGCCCAGGCTGGTCTCCAACTCCTGGGCTCAAGTGATCCGCCTGCTTCCGCCTCCCACAGTGCTGGGATTACAGGTTTGAGCCGCCACGCCCAGCCAGTATTGTTTTTCATAGCAAAGACTGTTCTGGCAACAGAGCTGGAGTCAGAAAAAGCAGCTCAATTGCCTCTCTGCTTTTTGGCTAAGTTGAAGAGTAGAAAAAGCAGCATCCAGCCAGGAGACACGTAGGTCCTAGAAAGTCTTTTCTTGAGCATTCTAGATTCCACTTACCAAGCAAATGTACATCAAAGAATATATAACAGCAAAGGTGTATTATGTTTCCATTCACTAGAACACTCCTTTAGATCAGCTCCATCCTTATTCTTTTGGAAGCTCAGAGAATTTCCATTCATAATCTTTGTTTTGTCTTTAGCATCCCCGGGAGAGAAAAGGGCATAGAAGTATTCTTATTTTACAACTTAACAAGTTGTCCAAGCAAAGCTAGAACTTACAGCAGGACAATTTTTGCCTAGTGCTATTTCCACTTCTTCACACCTTCAGTTGCCATTGATCTATGATGTCATCACACTCAATGTGTATTAAGAAATGGGGCCGGGCCGGGCGCGGTGGCTCAGGACTGTAATCCCAGCACTTTGGGAGGCTGAGGCAGGCGGATCACAAGGTCAGGAGATCGAGACCATCCTGGCTAACACAGTGAAACCCCATCTCTACCAAAAATAAAAAAAATTAGCCGGGCGTGGTGGCGGGTGCCTGTAGTCCCAGCTACTTGGGAGGCTGAAGCAGGAGAATGGCATGAACCCGGGAGGCGGAGCTTGCAGTGAGCCGAGATGGCGCCACTGCACTCCAGCCTGGGTGACAGAGCGAGACTCCGTCTCAAAAAAAGAAAAAAAAAAAGAAAAAGAAAAAAAGAAAGAAATGCGGCCAGCATGGTGGCTTACGCCTATAATCCCAACACTTTGGGAGGCTGAGGCGAGCAGATCGCTTGAGGTCGGAGTTCGAGACCAGCCTGGACAACATGATGAGACTTCCTTCTCTACTAAAAATTAGTCAGGCATGGTGGTGGGCGCCTGTAATCCCAGCTACTCCGGAGGCTGAGGCAGCAGAATTGCTTGAACCCAGGAGGCGGAAGTTGCAGTGAGCCAAGATTATACCACTGCCCTCCAGGTGGGGCAACAGGGCAAGATTCCGTCCAAAAAAAAAAAAAATCCCAGCACTTTGGGAGGCCGAGGCGGGCGGATCACGAGGTCAGGAGATGGAGACCATCCTGGCTAACACGATGAAACTCCGTCTCTACTAAAAATACAAAAAATTAGCCGGGCGTGGTGGCGGGCGCCTGTAGTCCCAGCTACTCGGGAGGCTGAGGCAGGAGAATGGCATGAACCCGGGGGGCGGAGCTTGCAGTGAGCTGAGATCCGGCCACTGCACTCCAGCCTGGGCGACAGAGCGAGACTCTGCCTCAAAAAAAAAAAAAAAAAAGGGAGACCCTACAGCAACAGCCCACAGGGCGCCCTTGGTGATGAAGGTCCTATGTCATTATCAGAAATTTCAGGGCAGGCTGCGAGCCCTGCAGGATGGAAAGCACCATGGGGAGGATGACCCACTGGTCTTCTCCGGGCTTCCTGCTCTCTGGAAATGGGTGCATCCAGGTCACACCGGAAGTTCACTGTTCTTTGTTCGTCCCAAGGTTCCTTCCTGGGAGGGTCCTTAGTTGAGACTATTCGTGGAGCCTTCCCTGCACCCTTCACTTGGGGACGGTTCCCTCTTTTCTCCTCTTTCCAGAAAGAAACTGCCATCAGGAGGTGGCATGAACAATCAACACCTGAGGAGGCATCGGGTCAGGCAAGTGATGCCAGTTTAGGAAACACCTGATACACTGGTCCCCATGGGACCACATGCCAGGAGAGCCATGGGCTGTACTCAGGCATCTTGTTTATTGAAGAAGATACTAAATCAACTGCCTATTTATTTATTTATTTATTTTTTGAGACAAGGTCTTACTCTGTCGCCCAGGCTGGAGTGCAGTGGCACAATCTCGGCCCACTGCAACCTCTGTCTCCCAGGTTCAAACAATTCTCCTGCCTCAGCCTCCCGAGTAGCTGGGATTATAGGAACCTGCCATGGGGCCCAGCTAAGTTTTGTATGTTTTAGTAGAGACCGGGTTTCACCATGTTGGCCAGGTTGGTCTTGAACTCCTAACCTCAGGTGATCCACACGCCTCAGTATCCCAAAGTGCTGGGATTACAGGCATGAGCCACCGTGCCCAGCGTTATTTTATTTTATTTTGACATGGAGCCTTGCTCTGTTGCCCAGGCTGGAGTGCAGTGGTGTGATCTCAGCTCACTGCAACCTCTGCCTCCCGAGTTCAAGCCATTCTCCTGCCTCAGCCTCCCAAGTAGCTGGGATTACAGACACCTGCCACCATGCCCGGCTAATTTTTTGTGTTTTTAGTAGAGATGGGGTTTCATCATGTTGGCCAGGGTGGTCTTGAACTCCCGACCTCAAGTGATCTACCTGCCTTGGTCTCCCGAAGCCCTGGCATTACAGGCATGAGCCAATGCTCCTGATCGGCTTTTTTATTTTTAAGAGTCAGGGTCTCACACTGTCACCCAGGCTGGAGTGCAGTGGCTCAATCATGGGTTGCTGCAGCCTCCAACTCCTAGACTCAAGCCATCCTCTCCCCTCAGCCTCCTGAGTCACTGGGATTACAACTGTGAGCCACTGCACCTGGCTCAAACAACTACTTCCTATGATTGTTTCTTTCACTTCTGACCTTTTATGAATCCCCTCAACTTAAAAATCCAAAGGAATCACATATTATGTAATTCCATTCATATTAAATTTCTAGAATAGGGAAATCTATAGGAACTGAGACTAGATTAGTGGTTATTTGGGGTTGATAGCTAAAGGGTAGAAGGTTTCAGAGTGATGAAAATGTTCAAAATTGACTGTGATGGCAGGGTGCGGTGGCTCACGCTTGTAATCCCAGAACTTTGGGAGGCCGAGGCGGGCAGATCAAAAGGACAAGAGATCAAGACCATCCTGGCCAACATGGTGAAACCTCGTCTCTACTGAAAATACAAAAATTAGCCAGGCGTCATGGTGCATGCCTGTAGTCCCAGCTACTCAGGAGGCAGAGTTTGCAGTTAGCTGAGATCCCGCCACTGCACTCCAGCCTGGTGACAGAGCCAGACTCCATCTCACAAAAAAAAAAAAAAAAAGAAAAAAAAAATTGACTGACGATTGTTGTACGACTCTGTGAATATATTTTAAGAAACCACTGAATGGTACACTTTTTTTTTAATTGTCTTTTTTTTTTTTTTGAGACGGGGTCTTGCTCTGTCTCCCAGGCTGGAGTGCAGTGGCACAATCATGGTTCACTGCAACCTCTGCCTTCTGGGTGCCTCAGCCTCCTGAGTAGCTGGGATTACAGGCGTGCACCACCACGCCCGGATAATTTTGTGTATTTTTAGTAGAGATGGGGTTTTGCCATGTTGGCCAGGCTGGTCTTGAACTCCTGAGCTCAGGTGACCCACCCTCCTCGGCCTCCCAAAGTGCTAGGATTACAGGTGTGAGGCACCGTGCCCACCACTATTTTTTAAATTTTTATTTATTTTTCTGACAGGGTCTCATTGTCACCCAGGCTGAAGTGCAGTGCCATGATCATAGTTGGAGCACAGTGGTGCAATCACTGTAGCCTTCACCTCCTGGGCTCAAGCAATGCTCCTGTCTCAGCCTCCAGAGTAGCTAAGACGACAAGCCTGTGCCACCACACTCAGCTAATTTTTTATTTTTGTAAAGCGGTCTCATTATGTTGCCCATGCTGGTCTCAAACTCCTGGGCTCAAACGATCCTTCCACCTCAGCCTCCCAGAGTGTTGGGATTACAGGCATGACCTACCATGTACAGCCTGAACTGTATACTTCAAATGGGTGAATTGTATAAGTATGTGAATTATATCTCAATAAAACAGTTTTTATTGTATTTATTTATTTGTTTTTGAGATGGAATCTCACTCTGTTGCCCAAGCTGGAATGCAGTGGTGCAATCTCAGCTCACTGCAACCTCCGCCTCCCGGGTTCCAGCAATTCTCCTGCCTCGGCCTCTCAAGTAGCTGAGACTACAGGCTTGCGTCACCATGCCTGGCTAATTTTTGTATTTTTAGTAGACACAGGGTTTCATCACATTGGCTAGGCCAGTCTCAAACTCCTGACCTCAAGTGATCTTCCCTCCTTGGCCTCCCAAAGTGCTGGGATGACAGGCGTGAGCCACTGCGCCCGGCCAAAGAGATTTTAAAAAATCAAATAAAAGAGAGGTTGGATGGAAAAAAAGAAAATGAACATGTACTGAACTACATTCTACACGCCGATGCTTTTATAATCACCCAATTTAAAACTCACATACCCTCCAAGGGAAATATTATTTTCCGTGAAAGGACAGAGAGAGCATGGGATCCTGCTGGGGGGTGTACAGATGGTTTAAGGAATGGCAGAGGCTGCAACCGCAGTGGAGGAGCAGAAGGGCAAACAGAAGAAAGGCCCCAGGAGGGGAAAATAAGGCGGGTGACCACATGTCCTAGGTGGGGCAGTCCCAGCCCATGCCCGCCCTGCCAGTGAAATTGTAACAGTGGTCTCTTCATTCTCAAGTGCCTGGAAGATGAATTATAAGATATTTATGTATGGGTTGTTGTGTGAAATGCAGGCAGACACACACACACACACACAATTACTAGAATCATGGCACCCCGCGTCCTTAAAACAACCTCCAAGCTCAGAGAGGTCTCTCCCTGATGCCGACCAAAAGGCAGTCAAAACACCGATCTCTTAACTCAATGCTTAAGTCTGCGTACTTTATTTAGCATGAAGAAAAATGGTCAAAACAATCATGCAATCCATTTCCTGTGAGATTTAAAAAAAGATAAAAATTCTTTTTTTTTTTTTTTTTTGAGATGGAGTTTTGCTTTTGCTGCCCAGGCTGGAGTGCAGTGGCTTGATCTCAGCTCATCGCAACCTCTGCCTCCCGGGTTCAAGCGATTCTCTTGCTTCAGCCTCCTGAGTAGCTGGGACTACAGGCACGTGTCACCGTGCCCAGCTAATTTTTTGTAATTTTAGTAGAGATGAGGTTTCACCGTGTTAGCCAGGATGGTCTCGATCTCCTGACCTCGTGATCCGCCCGCCTCGGCCTCCCAAAGTGCTGGGATTACAAGCGTGAGCCACTGCACCCAGCCTAGTTTTTGTATTTTTAGTAGAGATGGGGTTTCACCATGTTGGCCAGGCTGGTCTTGAACTCCTGACCTCAAATTATCCACCCGCCTTGATCTCCCAAAGTGCTGGGATTACAGGCCTGAGCCACCTCACCCAGCCTAACATAAAGGAAACAGTTTTTAAATAAAAATTCTTTTATCTGATGTAAACCAGACTAGATAAGGATATGTTTCATTTCTTTAATTATAAAGGTGAAATACTCGTTTATGTCACTTAATGTTTTTTTTCTGTACCCTGTAGAGCAGGGCTGACACATAGGTAGTGTGCTCAGAGTCAGCTAAAAATGATTTAATATTTAATTATAATTTTTTTATAGCAAAGTTCTTTTCAGTGTACAGTTCTATGATTTTTTTTTTTTTTCTTTTTTGAGACAGGGTCTCACTCTGTCACCCAGGCTGGAGTGCAGTGGAGCACTCTCAGCTCACTGCAACCTCCCCAACCCAGGCTCAAGCAATCCTCGTGCCTCAGCCTCCTGAGTAGCTGGGACTACAGGTATATGCCATCATGCCCAGGTCATTTTTTGCATTTTTTTTTAATAGAGAGGAGGTTTCACCATGTTGCCGAGGCTGGTCTCGAACTCCTGACCTTAGGTGATCTGCTGCCTTGGCCTCCCAAAGTGTTGGGATTACAAGTGTCAGTCACCCGCCTGGCCCTTATGAATTTTGATATATATAAAGTCATATTCATATGCTTTACCTATTACAATCAAGGGTATAAACAGTTCTGTCCACCCCAGAATTTTTTTTTTTTTTTTTTGAGACGGAGTCTCACTCTGTGCGCCCAGGCTGGAGTGCAGTGGCGCAATCTCGGCCTCACTGCAAGCTCTGCCTCGCAGGGTTCAT